AAAAAAAAAACTTTCTTATGGTAACGTTTTTGCCAACAGAGCCGCAGTCGTTCAGTACCCTAGCAGCAACAGTGGCCGCTCGTTCAGGAGGCTGAGCAAGGTCAGCAACCTGGAGCTGGCAGGCACTTCCAGCTTGCGGGAGGTTGGCGTGGAAAAAGTGCTGCTATGCCCCTTTAGTATATTTTCAATTTTTTAGATATTTTACTTTTTTACTTCATATTTCTTACATATTTCAATATATTTTAAAATATTACAAGTCGATACGGAATATTTCAAATACGAATTTGCAAATGAATCTTCCTGAAATTTTGTGAAACGAAGGAAGGAAGAAGACGGTGTCGTACCGGAGGCACCCGCCAGCCACGGGGCAGTGACCCGTCCCTCGCGGAGAGCAGAGGGCGGGGAGCAGAAAGGGAGGGGAGCCCTTCCCCTGATCAGGGACGGGTAGAGAGCAAATCGCCTTTTGGTCAACGTTGCTACGTTTTGACTTTGATTTTGAAAAAGCCGACGACTCATTTTGTTCTGTATTTTTCGTGATGAGCTGGCTATTGAAATTGGATAGCGAATAACATTCTATTTGAACTTTTATTCCAGTACAGTTATTTCAAATATTTGCTTCTGGAGGCCGTACTTTATTTTAATAAAAAAATATGAATGCGTTAGTGACCATTTGAGCTGTAATATGTCGGTTACGAGTGTTTGTACGAGCTTCTGGGTCAATGACCCCCATCTCCAGGAGGTGTCCGTCCAGTTTCCCTTGAGTAATCGAGAGATTGCTGAGATGGAACATTGTTTGTATTGTTGGTGGTAAATGTAACTTTTCTCCCCTCAAACGACTCATGCAGTTTTGAATGTCCCAAAGCAGCTATGAATAAAAAAATGAGCCAATGGAGCGACATGTGAGTCCTAGACATAGTTTTGCCGTAAACGCATTTACATCATGTAGTCTACTATGTTTTAAATACTAACATAAGAAAAATAATGGTACAACAACAGCACGGACTATCTCACATCAGTAACTGTTAAGTAAAATTATAAGACCACAAATTCTGTTCATATTAACACATCTTAGCCGGCATTTACAAATCTCATAAAAATGGAATGGATTTTCATGTAAAAACACATTTTTACACCCCTTCAATATTTTTTAGTTTATGTCACATTATGAATGTATTTAAATAATTGTTTACATATTTTAATATAAGTATATATTTTTAAATAGTTTATCTTTTTACCTCATATGTCTTACATTTTTCAATACATTTTAAAATATTACACGTCGATACGTAATATTTCAAAAACGAATATGAAAATGAATCTTCCTGAAACAAAGAAAGGAATACTGAGTTTATATTATATCCGGACCTTTCTCGTATACTTTTAGGCTCTTTCTTTTCGGAAACTGCTTGCTCGGAATGAAGGAAGGAGGAATATTTGCAAAGCAGAAGTAATCGCAAACCACATGCTTGCTCATATTTCGTCCAGCCAATGAGTAACTCGATCGAAAGCTGACAAACTTTTCCTACCGCGCTTCCTGTACCCCACAGAGAAATATAGATTCTTGTCGCAGGGACGAAAATTTAGAAACCAATTCACGAAACCCCACCCTCTCGGGTACAAAAGAAATACTTCTTTGGAATGTGTGGCGATCAATCTATGGTGCTTGCTTTCAATAAATTGAGTTCTATTAAATGTTAGATGAGTATAATTTCCGGGCGCTTCATCTTTTTAGGGAACTTGTCACGTAAGTGTAGTGCAAGTTATATCCAGGAGGTCGCACCGTTCCTCCCCTGCTGGAACGTGAGATCCAACACCGACCTCCCTGTCGGCTGACGGGTCTATTCTCTTTTCAGGTATTTTCCTCAGCGGGGACCCGTGTCAGCCGCGTCGGGCCGACTAGTCTTCCACCGAACGTGGTGGCATCGAGAATTACGTGTATGTGTGTGTGTGTGTGTGTGCAAGGGGAGAAGAGGAGGCAAGGGTAAGGAAGGAATGGTCGTGCGCGGTCTGTTGTCTATAACCGAACTGTTCCGGCATTCACCTGGGTCGGAGAAAACAACGTAAAATTACCGAATAGAGCCTGCCACTGGAATTTTCCTCCAGACAGTAGTTGAATTTACTCAGCAATCTAACGTCAGTGAAAAATTAACCACCGTCGAGCCTCCAACCCCTAGGATCTCCCAGTCAACAATACTGAAGACGCAGTAATAATAATAATAATAATAATAATAATAATAATAATAATAATATTAAGTGCAGTGTAAACAATGTTGAATTTAAGAGGAGTTTGGTGCTCGTTTCCCCCGCCTCCTGATCCATCACTTACTATGCAGTAAGACTCTTCTCGAATCTTTCGTACAAAACATTGTATTTGTAGAATTTTATATTTCTCGTGAAACTTGAACTGTTGGGTGAAGATTATATTAGGATTTATTTAGATTTAGAGTTACATTTACGTTCAGAAGCAAAACAAGGGGCCATCTCAGAATTTCTCAATGGATCAGGGAAACTGGACAAAAACCTGATCGAGATGGGGGTCATTGACCCGGAAGCCGAAGTAAATAATTTTTATAAACATATAAAATCTTTCAAAAAATTATACAATACAAATTTTAACTAATTCATTATAATATATCACTGTTTTGTTAAAATAAACATTATTTTCCTTTTTGATAATCAGTATAGTCTCTAATTGTATAGAAACAGTTATGCAGCAGAAAAGATTTTACTTTTAACTATGAAATTAAAGTTGTGAACCGAATTTAATTTTTTAACGCCATCTGGCAGTGCATTGTAAAGTAATGTATTTTACTTCTGGATTAATGAGTTCACACATGGTTGCAAAGGCACAAAAGATGCTCCGTGCTCCGGCAGGCCAGTTGAGATCCTCACACCGAAAACGATCTTAAACGTTCGCGATATGGTAACGGAAGATCGTTGAGTGAAAGTGCGCGAGATAGCTGGTCCTGTTAGCACCTTAACTGAACGAGTTCACATCATATGCACGAGAAACTGATTATGAAGAATCTGTACGCAAGATGGGCTGCGAGATTGGTCAAATGGCCCCAAAACTGACTCGGAAGATCGAAGCTGAATCTGGCAATGCTGAGGCAAAATAAGTAGATCTTTGTGGCCGTGAATGACACCTGGATCCATTACTTCACTTCTGAAACCAAAAAAGATTCAAAACAGTGGACAAAGACCGGCGAGAGTGCACCGAAGAACGCGAAGGCAGTTTTGTCAGCATGAAAGGTGACGGCCACTGTTTTATGAGATTCTCAAAGTATAATCATTACGAATTATTTGGAAAAAGTCACAAATATAACTGGGCCGTATCCCGCCTCATTATTGGATCATTTAAAACAGGAATTGATTGAAAAAAGACCAAGATTATCGCAGAAGAAAGCGATGTTCCATCAAAACAGCGCACAACTCACTCAGCAGCAGTCACAATGGCAAAAGTGCATGAGTTGGGATTCGAATTGGTTCCTCATCCAGGAGGTTCGTGGGCTTCCGCGGCCGGAGTCAATACATCTATTCGGGATGAGCCGCGTTTTTAGCACAATTTCAGCGAGACACGGCTCATCCCAGATAGCTCAGGGGGCTTTGGCTTAGGGGGCAGAAAGTTTCATCAAATGCTGTGGTATGTTGATTGCTGGTGTAACCGTGTATTTCGTAGAGTTTGAAAAAACCTATTGATGAAAAAAGTGAAAACAAGATAGACCAATTCATAGACCTAGGAGGAGACTATGTTGAAAAATGCAGAGTTTCTTTCGAAAAAAATTCTTTGTTCCATTTTTACCAAACTTATCAAACAGATACGTTGTGTATATTTCGTAGTGCTGGTTGTTTTGTACAAATACAAATGAATATGAATAAATTGCAATGGAATGATTTGAGATTGAGATTTGTAACTGTGAAGGAATTGATCATGTATTGTATTTTTATTTAGAATCAATATTTAATTTTTGTTTGTTTACAATTACTAGAACCTCAAAGTCCATGCATTTATTTTACTTAAAATAGGCAGACAAAAAGACATTTATTTTTACAAAATTAGGTATGCAAAAATACATTTTTTCTGGCTAAAGGAGAGGTGGGAAAATCAATGTTACTAAAAAATCACATTTAAAAGGAAGTATTGTAAAAACGTACTTAAAATAATACATATTTCTTATTGTAACGTTAAATTTACATTACCACGTAACGTGTAAGGAAACTATCCTTTGTTTGCAGACTTGATTCCACATGCCCATTCTGAACGATTGCAGCAAATTTATTTTAGTACCGACGCTATCTCTTCGAAATTCTTATGTGGACTTCTTTTTGAACCTTGAAATGGCGTAACTGGAAACGGAACTATATTTTTCGTTTTCGCACTTGTGTAATTGCAAACACTGAAAAGGGTATATCATATAAAGAGAGGTGAGCTCAATGGGTATCAAAAGCTAAAATAGACAATAAAAAGGCAAATGAAAGCCTACTAAAACAATTCCAGATGTACAATTAAGTGATTCCTATTGTTATAAACCATAAAGCACTAAGAATAAAAATGGCATGTTACCAAACTTCAGGGCTCTAACAATTACAACACATTTTTGATGTCCTTAGATGATTTTGATGATCCTTGATGATAGGCTTAGTTAAGATTCATATAAAAATAGTTTTTTTAAATTTTTGAACACAACATTTTTTAACACAAATGACACAATTTTTTGCTAAGATTGGCTCGCCTTCGTGAGCGTCTTCGCTGGTCGGCGCAGGCGCGTTGCGTTTGCTCTCGAGCGGCGGCGGCGGGCGAGTGCGTCCGCGCGGGATCTGGAGCAGTGGAGCAGGCAGGTAACGCCTGTGACGTCACGCGGCCGGTCGTCGACCCCGGCCGCGCCGCCCGCCGCGCCGCGCCGCCCGCGCCGCGCCGCAACACCCACACGACTCGAAAAACGACGCTCCAAGTTACGGGCACCACACGCTTTTTAATTGACGGTTTATGAGTGAGCATTAAGAAAACACTTTCTAGGTGCTCTATTGTAAGTATTATCGAATATTAAATAACGGCCATGTCTTAACATTCGGGTTCTGCGAGTTGGGATATTCTTGAAGCCCGTTTTCAGTGCTTGCTTCTCGTGGGGGCACCAAGGAGCGGTGAACGGTGTCTGACCGGCCATACCCGCCTTGCTTGGCGTCTGCGCATGGTGGCAACTGTTCATGTGTTTGCCCAAGACTATTTCGTATAATTTCATAAATTTCACTTGTCTGCATTCCAATATATTGGCCAACTCGGACAGTCAGTGATTATCGAAAACAAGTATAAAACTAGTAGTGCTACAGAATGGCACCAACTTACCTGTATTAGTTTTCTATTTCCTTTGGTCTCGCCTAGCTATTCGAACTTGCCACATCCTCTTGTCTGCTGGCATCTATCGCCAAAATACATTTTTTAAACGTTTTCTTAAGATTTCAGTTTACTAATAATAGAACGAAAATATTTTGTTAAGTATATTAAGTAACAGTAAAACCGCGTCCTAAATGACAATTTTCTATGAAAAATTTAGAGCCGTTTATAAGAAAATGGCGCTTAAGCGCTACAGTATATTCAACATTTGAAATACTTTTTCTCAGAAATGTTTTGAGTTTTCGAAAAACTTCATCAGAAGTCAATTGAAGCTTGAATGTCATTTGAAATTTTAACTCATAAATACAATTGTCTTTACAAATTTCTGGAAATGTGCCTATGAACGGCGTGAGAGATCTAAAAAATATATTTGTGTTTTTAAAACATACGTTTTTAAAAAAAAAACGAAAGAATACCCCGAAATGAACTTTACGTCATATTAATGAGTGCAATTCGCACTATCCGTTCGAAAAGTTTGAAGAAAAAAATATTGGAGTAGTTTTTGACAAAATGGCGTTTGAGCTTTTCCAAAAATTCCAAAATTTTGAGATAGTTTTGATAGAAAGCGGTTGCGTTTTCAAGAAGCTTTATGTGACATTATTTAAAGCACACGTACTCATAAATATACTAATGTGAGCAAATTGCTGCTAATGACAATATGAACGACGTGCGAGACAAGTCAACAAAAATTACATTTCTGTAATTTTTGAAAAAAACAAACAAAAGAATAGAGTAAAATGGCGTTTATGTCATCTTGAAGAGCGCATTTAACACACTCCGTACTAAAAGCTCAAAGAAAAAAAATGTAGCAAATTTTGAGATAATCTTGTTTTTGTAATTTTTTAAAATTGCACAAATTGCACACAATATTGCGCGAAAACTACTAAACGGTTCAAAAAATGTTCATGACCTTAATAAAAAATCAATTGCGGACAACAAATTTTGTTTGAAGAAAAAATCTTTATCTTTAATTTCATTGTTGTAAGAAGACCATGAAAAAATGAATTTAGAGTACAACGTGAAAATGGGACCTATGCCACATTTATAAGTGAATTTTACTGTATTCTTAGAAGAAATTCTTACGAAATTTGGAGCCATTTTTGAGAAAATTTTGACTATGTCCCAGGGGATTCATGTAAAGTACCCCCAAAAACTAATGAATGATTTTTAAAACCTCATAGCTTTGACTCACGCAAAATGGACAGGGGTTTCTTCAATTTGGGAAAATCCTTCGCATAGTTTAGTCGTTAGTGTTGTTCACATACACCAGGACAGATGGACGGACACCCAGACGGGCGTACGGACGTTTTGAAAAAAACAAATTTTTCGGTGTCAGGGGAACCCAAAACGGGTTTATTTCCGTTGAAGTCTCGAAATCGATTTTCCGCATCATTACATAACTTTCCCCATACTACGTATATTACTCCGCGTATACACATACGTATACGGGAACGTAAAAACAATTCATTAATGTCTAATCGATTAACTTAATAGTTCGTTGAATATACATCTATTAATCGTTCTCAATTAATCGACTGTTATTATACTTTTTCACATTTTTAAATAGTTTGTGAATCATTAAAATTATTAATTTTTAGCTCCCGAGAATAATGCTGTCCACAGGTCACGTTATCAGCCGTGCACTTGACGAGGTTGCGAACTCCTCCTGGGAGCTCTGCAATGCAAACCGCCGTCTGCGCCCTGGGCTCAACTCAAATTCCTCTCTATGAGTCGCCAGAATCCGCTTTAACGAGTTGATAAACTACCAACGACTCAACGCCGCCAATACGTATCGTCTTCAACCCTTTAAGTGTTGTACACTATGTACAAACATAGAGGATAATTTGACTGGCTTATTTTCAAACTCAGTATTCTCCAGTTTTCAAGACTTTGCTAGAGAATTCAATACACATGCAACTACTTTCCTTTTGAGTTTGGTGGTATTTGTTTTTTATTAGTAGTCTTGAATTTCTTTTAAAGTTTTGCAGTAAACCATGTAAGGGTCATGTAGCTGGTACTTAAAATATTTAGACTGCTGGGTAAAAGGACAACTAGTTAAACATGTTAGTTCTATTAGAACATGCAATTTGTTGAATTCGTCGAAATGAAATGAACACTTTTTGGACATTTGAAGTTTCAACGTAAGTTACGTACGTGTACATGTTTGATAAGCACATCAGTAAATCTTTGAACATGAAACGAATTAGTTTCTCCATCAAAAAGGGTTTGAGATTATTGTGCGGTACCAAACTGTCTGCTTGACAATACTAATTAGGTAAAGAACAATACAATATATAATATTTCAGGTAAATGGTTCAAATAGATGCCGAGAAGTCCCAGACAATGAAAGGGAACATATTTGTCTTCTGTATAATTTTTGTACTACACATTTCATATGTACTTACACCTCGTCAAGTATCATGAACTCCAAAAGCATAGCTTCTTAAGAACTTACGCACGAACGATTAAAATAAGAGAGTGAAATATGGGCAGTTTTAAAAACAAGATTCTTTCTAAAAGACTCGAATTTTGTAAGTTCTTTGTTTGGATGATGCTGAATTCACAGCAAAACATACCATTAACGCAATTTTAATGTAATTTTTTAATTACACAAACCTTTTAATATCTCCCACTAATATTTGCAGAACGAGATTTTTTATAGATTACTAGTGGCACCCAGCAGACATTCATCTGCCCACCATCTCTCTCTTTCTTTTTTTGTCCGTCTCACCGTCCCTGTCCCTCTCCATCGCTCTTTGTCTCAGCCTCTCTCTCTTTCTCTGACTCTCTGTCTGTTTCTCTCTCTGCGACTCGATCTTCCTGTCTCTCTCTGTAACTGTATCTCCCGAGAGAAATTTTCACAATTGAAGGGGTAGAATGTGCAATGAAGACGTCTTAATAATCGTACTTCAGAGTGCGGCGGGTTGCGTCGAGCGCCGTTAGAAAGAGTGTCCTCTTTAGAGCTCTTGAGTCAGCATAAAACCATCAACTCGCGTCTATGTGGACAGGCATATGCCCATTCCCATTGTACTATTCCTATATTCTTCCCAGAAGTGCCAGCAATAAGTAGACATCGCAATTGGATGAACGGTACAGCAGCGCATTAAGTACAAACCAACAAACGAGCAAATATTGTTTTTTTATATATTAGATTGTATTTTTGAGCTTCAAATGATTAAACTCTCGAAAACTCAAAAATATTCCGTGGAAATGAGCTAAAATTTGCATATTTTCAAAAGCGCTTAAGCGATATTATCTCAACAAAAGCTCGATTTTTTCTTGAAACTTACTGTACTTACACTGCTATAAATACTGAATAATATAAAATTATATTACTTTCATGCATTCTTTTGATTTTCGAAATATTACGCAAATGTAATTTTTTTTAAATATTTCGTACATTATTACTATTTACATTACGAGTATCTTAATATTTAATTGCAATTTTTGTCAGTTTTTATAATAGTTTTATTGTTTTGTTTAGATTACATTCTTCAATTTACTAAAAAACTTTGCAAATGTTTGATGACTTAATCTAAATAAATTAATTTTGTTAAAAATTTATTTAACTAATTTTAACATTGGGAGAGGAATCAAAAATCACTTCAGAAGTATTATTTAACATTTGAAAATATTTGGAGGAAAGAATAAAGGGGAAATCTGTTCTCAATTCTGACTTTGTATGTGGGATTTTTTCCAAGTGTATAGTGGGTTAATGCCTTTATGAAGGGTAAGTTTGTGTAAAAATTAGGTGATATGAATGCTGTTTAGCGCACTATTTCATTTATAATTAGATCGTGATTTACTTGTTTATTGCTAATGAACCATGGAGCTCTTGTTATTTGTCTTAATTATTTGTTTTGAAAAAATTGCTTTTTTGATATTGGTTTTGGCGACATTTGTCTAGATTGGGCATGCATACTAGTGTGGGCCGAATGAGTGATTTGTAAAGCGTTAGTGAGTTTAAGAGTGAGAGATATTTGTGTGGATTTAGTAAAGGTTTTAATTGGTTTTGTTGTATTTTGGCTTGTGCTTTTATTTCAATGGGTTGTTTACAGTTGAATTTTATATCTAAATGTAAACCAAGATATTTTATTTGTTTTGTGATCAGTGTCCGACGTATAGCATTATTACTTACGAGTAGCGAGGTCGGATATGCGAAGGGTTTTAGTGAGAAGACGTTTGCTGCTAGTTTTGAGGGATTTAATTTAATTTTCTAATTATTTGTGCAATTTGCTATTAGGTGTATATGCTGTTGGAATTAGTGACTTTGTAATGAAGTGTTGGAGATATATAATGCAGTGCCATCAGCGAATTGGGCGGTTTTTATTTGGTGGGAAGTAGGAATATCTGCAGCGTAAAGATTAAACAGACTTGGGGATAACCTTAGGGAACTCCAGCGGTAATTTGTCTGGGGTTAGATAAATGAACATAATTCATTTGGTTCTGTTGTTGGATATATTATTTAACGTTTCCACAATTGGTGATAAAAACTGTTCTTAATATGGAGTTGTTTAAAAATGCAATGGCATTCTTCAGTAATCGTTTGAGGATAGAAGTATTCATTTGGCCGTAGCCTGGAGATATTTTA